TTGACAGACAGTTGACCCTGAGAGGTCAAGTAAATATCTACAGCGGATCTAAATATTTATAATTAATTATAACTAGTTATGATTAATTATTCATATTTCCCTTATGAGCTGATTCGCTACATAGCATAACTGATTTGTATTTTCTAGTTGAACTTTAATACCATAGATCAAATATATTTACCCAGGTAATATCAAAACTTACTTGAATTGATGTAGTTTTTGGGCTCAAATGCAGAACTGTGGCTTTAATATTCTTGTGATAGTCAGAGCCTGGAAAATGGGGGTTAATTCCCCCTTAAGTTACTAAGAAGGATTGTGTTTGAGGATGGTCTTTTCTTAGATATTTTTTTTTTAATTATCTCACCTAAATGTTTGTCAGTGTATTTGTTTATACTATTGTACATTTTTGGTGCAAAATAGCTTACACACAGCACAAGAAAGTTTTAAACAAATTTATGTAATTGACATGATTACTCACTAAGATGGACTTTTTAAAATTATTTTGTGTGTAGGATTCAAGAAATTATCAGTGCATGGAGTAATGCACAGTGCATGTGGAGGTGTGGCCCCAATAGCCCTGCAGTGCAGTGTGCATGTGATTTAAGGAATATGCAGGGTTTAAATTAAACTGAAATTACATTTAATCTGGTTGTTTTAACCAAAATAGAAAGATTTTTTTCAATTACATTTAAGGACCCTGTTATAGGCTAACATGCAATTCAGCCAATTTCCAGTTTATTCTGATATATTACCTTTAATTCCCATATATTATAATTCCCATGGAAAGGGGATATGTCCACAACATTCACATCCTTAGGTAATACTGTTATATTCTGTATCATTTAAAGTGGTATTGGGAGATAACATCCCACAGGCATAACAATAACATAAAAATCATCCTACCAGGTCCCCGTTCTGGATGTTCCAGCATGTATCTTGCAACCTCAACATTTTCTCCGCCCTTGTCACTTCGAACACGGTGGGGTAAACCATGCTGACTGACAGCAGTGAGAAAACACTGGAGAACAGTTGCAGCCCTGTTATTACTGCTTGCACAAAGATACATAATGCGCCGGCTGAACCCATCAATCCCTCCATGTATAACAATTCTCCAGCTGCATGGACAAAATAATTTGTTTAATGATGTGGGGAAAAGTAGGAAATAATTCTTGACATTAAAGACTTCTTAAAAACAAACTAATTACATCAATAATAATTGTTGACATGATCAATAAATTAAAGTCTTACCGTATCAGCTTATGGTTACCATCTATGTGCCAAAGGGAGAGAGGCCCTGGAACAGAGTATGGAACCCTTGGAATGATATTAAGCTGAAGCCCGCGAAGAAAGTTCCCAACAGGATCGACAGCTTTCAGAGTCTGCCGCACCCTGTACTGTTGGACCCTATAAGAGTACAGATAATAATAATAATATTATATTCATTATATTGTAATCCATCACAGTAAGTAAAACCTTAAAATGTCTATAGAGAAATTGTTAGTAAAACAAAGTTTCATTGCAAGTTTAGCTAAAACTAGTAATTTTACTAGTAACTAGTCCAATGCAACACACACCTCACAAGATTGATACTTGGTATTATATAGTAGCTTTTGTGGTATTATGATATTCATGGATAATTCTTTACAAACATACTGGTCAACAAGGATCCATGCATGTCTTCCTATGTAAACTGACCCTATCTGTTTTGAGATAAAAAAATAATGAAATGTGTAGTGATTAAAGAAAATAAAAACTACCGAATTCCACAAGAACTGATATGTCCAGTAACACTCCGTATTCCAGCATTTGGAAAATTTACAAGGAAGGCAGAGACCACTTGCCGAAGTTGTTCATCAGTAATGTCAGAATATGTCTGTCGTACAGACAGGCCATATTCAGACATTCTCCTGCAAATTGTTCTGATGCTTACACCAAAAATCCGGGCTATCTCGGGAACTCTGAAGTGGCTTTCCAGGAGGAAAAGCAGCTGTTCCCTTGACATCACGGTCATAGAGTTGCTTCCCTCAACCTTCTCAATTATCATTTTCAAGAGAGAAAACACTCGTTCTTCATTGGGCAACTCTCCAATTGCAGCTAAAACTGCCAAGATACTGCTGATGTTGTCTAAGCCAACGAGAACACGATCAGTCTCAACTAGCGGCTTTTGAAGTTCAGCTGCCAGTATGTCCAGCACATCTGAAATCTGGCCCAGTAGCATCTGCTGGCTATAAAAAAAGCATGAAATAACATTTAATAAGAAGTTTAAACATTAACATCCAAGTCTTGAAGACTGCATGTCACATAAAATTACTTTGTAGAACAAAATGTCAATACGTTGTCAAGTTAACTTTACCAGAGACAGAACCTATAGTAAAATCTTGAGGGAATTTGTCATGTTTTGACATTATCCCTGCACCACTCTAAACAGTACACCGTACTCCAACAGTTTCCAACAGCGACAGTTTCCAATCCTGGTCTTGGGGACCCACTGCCCTGCCTTTTTTGTATGTTTTTCTTATCTCTCATGCATTTCACTATCTGATTCTGGTGTGGTAAATAGAGAGATACAAAGTATACTGTACAGAAGGGTGGGTCCCCAGAACAAGGATTGAAAACCACAAACAAACAAAAAATGATCACATTAAAAACTTTTTAGATGTTCATGTCACTCTGCACACCCTCTCTGTCACCAAAACTAAATTACACTTCTTAATTGAGGAATTTCACAATTTCAGAAACGTTATCCTATACAACACATTATGTGGTGCTTACTAACTAACGATTACATGAATAGGCTACGTCATTCTTTAATTTTTCATTTAATTTTAAACATTGTATTACATTCTGTACATTATCTGGTCGAAGAAATGCAATTAAGCAGTTCAAATAAAAAAATAGCCCATGTGTTAAAATTTAAGATTTCGAAAGACTCAAGTGACAGTTTAAAAAAAATAAACGTAGTAAAAACAGTATGGAAAAATGCAATACTACGTATTTGTAGTCTGCTCTCCCGATTTAATTACTGATGTGCTTATATCAAATTAATTATTTACTGGATGCACAAAGAGTCTCTCGCTTCTTTCCCAAATCCACACGTCTCTTTCCAGGATTGTTTTCACGGTGCTTAAATGTAATGGTCTCCTCTTTTCAATTCTAATCGCTTAAAACTTTACTGAAATAGTTCTAAAGCATGTAAACAATTTATTATTCGTCAGAATGACGGAAAGCACTCGCAATGCAGAAGTTATTGCCTACAATTTATTAAGGCACCATATGTTACTACAGATTTTACCACACTGATTTTTGGAGAAGGGTCTGGCTGCAGACTTGCACTTGTACTCTCAAGACATTTGCAGTTTTTTTTTCTTTTTTTTTCTATTTATTGATTACTTTGTTTTAACGTCGCAGTTCCATATTGAAGATAATTATAAATGTTGCTTACAGACTTAAAATTATGCACAAAACTGTACTTATCAAAACATAAAACTAAAATAGGATTATTATATTTTCTGGGTTTCTACTTGATTCCTTCTTCAGATTTCATTACATGGAGATAAAAATTGATAAATAATATGTGTAGTATTTTGTTTAATATTTTAAGATTTCAGCTCTAAATATTGCAACAGGTTCTGGCTGCAGACTTGCACTTGCACTGTCAGACTTGCACTTCCGCAAGTGACGTCACTTGCAGTCTTTATTTTTTATTTTGTTCTATTTATTGATTTTTTTTTGTTTTAATCTCTCAACATTTTACAACAGTAGCCAGGTGGTGAAGACAATAAATAAGAAACTAAATTACAATGTCACTTGCACTCTCCACTACCTACCTGCGACGTCACTTGCAATCGACACAAATCGTGCGTGTTGCCAATGGAGACAAGACGCTGTGGTGGTGATTTAATGATTAAAACTAATTTAGTACTATAACGTACATGGTCCTGCAAGAAAAAGACAAGACCTGCAAATCCGTGGCCACAGAACAGCAGAATATGAACGCAATGCACAAAGTCTCTTGTTAAGCTTTTTCCTCCCGTAGAAAAACATAAACACTTAATATGGCTTAATGTATCAAGAGGCTATTAAAATATCAAATTCAATATACAGTTTATTAAAATAATGACTATGTATATAGTATTTTCCACCCAAGTGCAAGTCTGCAGCCAGACCCTTCTCAAATATTGTTCTAATTGCATAACAAGTTTTAAAACAACTGGTTAAGCCACACTACATTTAAAAAAAGACAAGACCCGCAAATCCGTGGCCACAGAACAGCAGAATATGAATGCAATGCACAAAGTCTCTCGTTAAGCGTTTTCCTACCGTAGAAAAATAAACACTTAATATGGCTTAATGTATTAAGATGCATTAAGTGCAATTAAAAGATCAAATTCGATATACAGTATAGTTATTATTTAATGTACTACAAGGCAAGCAGATGGCCATAAACACAATGCGCAAACTTTCACTTGTCCTCCCATACAGCAAAACGCTTAATGTGGCATAGGCCTAATAACTGATGATAAAGACAATAGCCTATATGTCTTGTTGTTGACTCAAAGTATATACAGAACAGCAAATATGAACGTGCATTATGAAATGCATTAAGTGATTTTAAAAGGATCGACTCCTTACAGGCAAGCAGACGAGTACAGAACGCAATGCGTTAAATTGCACGTTAAACATTTTCCTCCTATAGAAAATCATTATAAATAAAACACTTAGGCCTAATGTAGCTTAATAAACAAAGACAATGATGTAAAAGAGCTGTAGACCGTTTACTATGGAAAAACGCTTAACGCTAAACTGTGTGTTGCGTTTATTCTGGGCTCACCTGCTGCCTGTACATATTAATTATGTAGGCTATAGGCCTATTTTAATAATGAAGAGGAGCATATTGAGTTTGGTCTTTATCATCTTAGCCCATTATGCCACGTTTTGCGGTATGGGAGGAAAATACTATACACATTCATTATATTAATAAACTGTATATTGAATTTGATATTTTAAAAGCATCTTAATACATTAAGCCATATTAAGTATTTATGTTTTTCTACGGGAGGAAAACGCTTAGCGAAAGACTTTGCGCATTGCGTTCATTTTCTGCTGTTCTGTGGCCACGGATTTGCGGGTCTTGTCTTTTTCTTGCAGGACCCTGTAGGTTA